TTATAGAAAAAAAAACTACTGTAGAATATTAACATGAATTGACCTTAATTTTTTATTTCTGTTATGTTATATATTGCATTTCCCCTACCAACTTTACCACTGTTTAAAGTTGTTTTTTTCCACATTATAACCTAAAAAGAATTAATTAAAATAAATTTTTTCCCCCATCAAATTACATTTATATTTTTAACTATGTATTTTCTAAATTTAAAATGGTTCTAAATATATTAAACGTTCTTCCATGATGAAAAATATTGTGAAAATACAGTGTATTTTTCACTTACCTTGAAACTCAAAAACCCGAAGATTTCCTCTAGGCATTAGCTTAATTCCATATTATTCGCCGTTTTATTTTCCCCCGTCTTTTAAGCAAATGAAACAAGTGCTTCTTCACAAAACGTTCCTCAGATTGCGAACTCTCATCTTATATGTACACCGAAAAAGTACATGACCAAATTCTCTGTGGGAACGGATCCAGATATTATCTCACTTTTTCAGTTGCATGCGGAGGAATGTCCCTGTTCTCGAGGAGCTGGACGAATCCCCAGATCTTCTCCGCCTCACCTACCGTGATCACCGGTCTAAAACTTCCATACGTCCTCTAACCCTTCCTCTCTCATTCTGTGTCTGCTTACTGACTCGCTCTGCCTCTCCCTCCCCCTCTCTCTCTCTCGCTCTCTCTCTCTCGCTCTCTCACGAGTTCAACCTGGAGGAGCGGATGAATGTGTCGACACTGGGGTGGTTCCAGTGATCCTGGGGGGTCATTTTCTTCAATGCAACAAAGCAAAGTTTTTCCATAACTTGATTTATCCGTTTTCTTTCATTCAGTCAACTAGTCAATAAAAAAAAAAAATGGTTTACCACATCCCTGCCACCTACTTCTTGTCAGAAATGAAGAAACGTGGTGTTTTTGATGCTTTTTAAGTTATTGAGTTTCTATTGAGCTATTGGGTTTCTATCCAGACTTGAAGCTTGAAGCACCCTGCTAATTTTCCTCAGCTGTCTGTTTATCCAGATGGAGCCGGATTGTGCTTTAACAGCCTCTGAATACTGAGCGGGTCGGTTCTGTGGTGGATCTGTCGTATTTTAAGAAGTATCGATTGAGGACTTGACTCTCACTTTCGCATTAAATGACTTTTGCGAGGCCAATCCTTGAGCAATCTTCATCCAGCTCCTCCTCCCCATTACCTCCATGTGCTCAGGCTGTATAGACACATCTGTTTCCCACCTTGACAGGGTGTAGCTAGAGGTTAAAGCTGGTTACTGAAAACACCAACAAAAGTGTGTGTGTGTGTGTGTTTATATGTTGTACACACTACCAATCAAACGTTTGAATACAGCTATTTTCCACATTATGGATCGAGTCAAGTCATAATTTTGAAGTACATAGAATTATGTTAGTGACCATAAAAAGGCTTAAAAACAGCTCTGTTTAGATTCCAGAGGCTTATTCTGGATGTTCTTTTAAACTATTAAAGGAGTTGTTATAATAGTATCATTTGATGTACTATTATTGTTTTTATTAATATTTTGAAAAAAAAAAAAACTTTTCGTTTTAATTTGAGCTCTTTAGTAATTTTGTTGTGTTTCTGTCATTTTATTTTTCCTTTTTAGTTTTAGTAGTTTGTTAATCTAACAGAAAAAAAACTATAAAATTGTGTCTTGGCAACTAGTAATAATAATTTATTATTTTAAAAATATTTTCTTTTATTTACTTTATTTCAAGCCAACATTTTTAATGGTTTTAGTTACTTAATGATAACCCTGTTCCTACACTTTAAATATAATTTCACATACTTAACATTAAAAATTTAAGGCAGAGACTGAAGTTAAGCATTTAAGTATGATCAAATTAGCTGTACAGGTAATTTCAACTTTTTTTTTTAGTTAATTCAAATTATAATAATCTGACCTAAATGTATTCTTTTGAAATTCATGCAATTGCTTTTATGCCCAAAGTTTTGTAGACGTCTAATGAGAAATGTTTCAGTTGAAACTCTTTGACTTTTGTATTGTGAGTATGTATAGAAATTTGAGGCCAAAACTTTTTTTTTCAGCTAATAAAACCTGAAGTCTGTGTTTTAATAATAAACTACTAAAGAAATGCTGTTTTTTTTTTTTTTGTAAGTGGACTGGTGCTGTTGTCGGGGACTCTTTTGTTTGTTCATTTTACTGGTGCGTTGAATAGCGTCTGGCAAAGGGAAACTCTTGAACCATGAATGCCTCCGACTCCTGGAGTGTGTCAGGCTTCGTCTTTTGTTTATGAAAGTTAACAAGAAAAAACTTAAATCAGACAAAACCAAATTTAGGACGGAGCTTTTAGCTAAAGATTTAAGAGGCTGTTAAGGTTGATTGCGCTTGCAAAGTAAGACAAAGCAGTTCTTATGAAGGAATTTATATATATATATAAGCTTTTTATATATATATATATATATAAGCTTTGTGGGGACAGCGATCTTTGACATTGAATGAGTGCAAGTTGTACATATAAAGTTTTTTTATTTTTTTTATTAGTACGTTTAGTACTTTTCCGTTAGTGTTTAAATCATGGATTTCTGTTTTTTGAATTAATAAATGTACTATGCATAGGCATGTGTATATAGTGTGGAGCGCAAACATTGTACTTTTCTTATTTTTTTTGTAAATGCCTAGTTTTATTTTTTATCAAATTGGCAAGTGGTTATGAATGAATACCAGAACCTATTGAATGCAAATCTAGATTTCTGTGTGAAAACAAATGAAGCTCCAGTCTGAATCTCAGATGAGCCTCTAAAACCCAAATGACCAGTCAGGATTAGATTGAATAAATGGCCGTGGATGAGCATAAAGACCCTGGCCAAGATTTGTATTTGTACAGAAGGTTCCCAACTTCAACGTTGAAACTGTATTTCCCAGCTTGCCAAGTTCGGCCCTTGATATCCAGCGCAACACATTAATTCCAGCCTGATGAAAGATGAAGTCAAATCCTTTTTTATTGCTAGTTGGCATTTGTATGCGAGTACTAAGTTGTGGATTAGCTTCCCACGGAAAGGGTTTGGCCTGTGGGAAGGGTTCAAGCAGTTATCTCAACTGGACATGTTGTCTGTTATTACTGACAAGATTGTGTTTTTTTGTTGCTCTGGACCAAAACTGAACTTTAAATTTAATTCAGTTTATTTTAAATCAACCTGGTATTATACAAACTATACAAATCTGGTTTTGCGCAATTAATCTCTGAGCATATTGCAATCGAATGATCTAGATTAGTCGGATTTAAAGATTAGATATTGATTCGATTTCATTGCCATGTTTACATAGAAAATATAGATATATACGTCTTTTCTTATGTATAGTTTGATAATATTTGATACTTGATTTAGTTTGAAGCATTTAGGTATCTAGATTGGAGCTTAACAATATCCGTGTTTCCATTTCTAATTTGCACAAAACTTTTGCGTTATTTAATAAATGTCGATAAAAAAAATTCAAAATTACGTGTTTTTATTAGCGGATGTTATGCTAAACTAAAACGTCATATTTTTTTCCTCTCGCCAGAAGTCATGGCGACGGATGTTGCTAGGTTTACGTATACCACAGCCACAGCACTAGCCGTTGTTTTTAATCGAAGCGTAAGCCAGGTGACCGGTAAATGCGACAAAAAAACACCTCATGCGAGCGTTAAAAAGTATTGCGATTTATATGGGAGTTTTTGCAAAATTCATGTTTCCATTGGGCGTATTTTCAGTTCGCAATTTCAATTTGCGCAATTTGAGGGGTAATGGAAACCGCTTATGAAACTTAATACTAGTATATAGCACTTAAGATTCATAATAATGGACATTGTTTACGTTATCAACCACAAAAAAAACATTTATAAGGTTTTTTGCCAGAATTTCTATATCAGTGCATCCCTAGATTGATTGATTGTGTTTTTTTTAATGTAAATTGCACATTCTTTTAGAGTCAAGTCAATGAGAAGAGCTAATTCTCTTTAATGTAATAAGTTTGCTCCCTTTCAGTGACTTCGTGTTATGTGACATCTGAGAGTGTTGGCATAGCCGAGGATTTAATGAGGAAAATGAGGCTGTTATTTGATTACTTTATTCCTGCTTGGCCATTTAGACCTTCAGGCTATTTAAGAGTACCATTACCGCAGACTTAAACAGAAGATTTACATAGTCTTGCAGTAAAGGTTTCAAGGACATGTTTCTCTTTTTTTTGTGCCAACCTGTAACTTCAGTTCTGGAAGAAAAAAAAATGGAGGGAAAAATATGGCATTTGGGTAATTTATTTATTTATTTATTTTTTTTTACAAAATTGTGTGTAACATATAATTTGAATATGCATTCACATCATAAATCATCTATGTAACAATAAGTTTAAAATAAGTTTCACACTGTTTGCAGTATTTACATGTGTGGTTATATTTACGATTATACCTTGTACTATAGCTATTTGGAATTTTTTTTTTAATGTAGCTAGCTTTACTGTAGTTTAACAAATGTAATCTTGTTAATTGGCTTGTAACTTGGTAAACTGAGTATGTTCCTCAACACTGATCGAGTTTGCATAGAAATGGATATTTATGTTCATAGAGAAGCTTTCTATGCATATCATTCAACTGTATTAAAAGCCAAAGAACCACATTTTGAATAATAAAACATTATGTCTTTGTACCAAAGTACAAAATATTAGGCCAGAAAGTCTTGTCACATTTATGGCCTAACATTCCCATTGCCATAATTTTATGGTCTTGTTCATAATAAATGTGCATACTTCAGATATGCTTAATGAATGGAAACCGAAATAACCATGCTGTACTGTTTTATCGAGTTAGATTCTTTTGTTACAAATGTCAACTTGGCTGCACACCAGTTTAATAGTTCCTTTGCATAAACTTTGTACAAAGAACTAAAGCCTCGCATTCCTTCAGTCGATCCGAAGTATTACTGTCAGAGAAAATAAACCGTTTGGAGAAATGGATGGTCTTTGCTTCAAGTGTTTTGTGTTTGTGTCTACAGGACTCCAGAACAATGTCCCAGTGTGGTTTCTCTGCTGTCTGAGAGCTACAATCCTCACGTCCGCTGCGGCGCTGCAATGGCTCTGGGCATCTGTTGTGCTGGCACTGGGAACAAGGTGAGTTGTGATGAATACTGTATCTGTACTCAGTACTCCTAGTCGGTGTCATTGAATTAGCTTGTTAATACATTTAATCATTTCAGTATGTTAATGTTAATACAGAAAAATTTCAGTACTAACACTTATTTTACAAGGTAAATATTAATTCAGATATGAAAATAAATGTAAACAATGGAATGAACAGTAGATGACGTTAACTTTTAAACAGCTTCATCTAGGTTAATATTCAGTTCAATTACATACCTGCTGTGTATAGATATTTCGGTAACACTTTAAAATAAGGTTCTATATTTAACGCATTAACTAGTATTAACTAACTATGACAAATACAGTTGTTATAGTGTATTAATCTTTGCAGATGTTCATTGTTAGTCCCTGTTAGCTCAGGTCCATTTAATAGTATTGATAGATACAACTTTTGATTTTAATAATGTTTTATTAAATGTTGGAATCAACATTATCTAAGATTATTAAGTGCATTAGAAGTATTTTTCATTGTTAGTTTACGTTAACTAATGTGGTTAACTAATATCAACAAAAGGAACCTTATTGTAAAGTGTTACCAATATTAGTTTAATACATTTTTGTTAATAACTAATAATTGTAATGTTAATTTATGCAACCTAAAATGTTAGAAATTAACATTAAGCTAGATTTGTAAATGCGGTTTAATTTTTATACGAGTCATTTGTGCACAAATCGGGCATGCAATATAACTATGTCAAGAGTTATTACGATGTCAGATTTATTATTTATTTGTATAACGTTTTTCACAACATTCTTTTAAAGCAACTTTACATAAACTCCTAATGTTAATGTATAGAATATTGTAATATCATCTTCATGCCTTATAGTCGCATTTAGTAGATTAGAGCTGGAAATGTTATAGCTTGTGATGATATATCGATACGATATGTATATATTGTACGTACAATATATCAATATATATATATGTATGCAGATAAAGTTGGGCATATATAACTTCATGTAAAGAGTTCTGTGATTTAATATAGTAACGTTTTGTTACGAGATTTGTTATATAGTATGTATCGCTTTATATGAGTATACTGTAACTTCTAATTTATCAACAACATCCATTTTTGTTCAGTCATTGTTGTTGCATTTGTGGCCATTTTAGTCACAGTCTGGAGCCCTGATATGACTGTTAAAGTTTAGACGGCTGAAAGATTATTAAACGAGTGTGTAAGACAGCTGAGCAGGATCTGCCAGGACCCAAGAGAGATGTTTGAACTGTCTTACAACAATCCTGAGTGATGTTATTGGCTCTTCTGCATGCTCAGGTCGGTTCTGCGACTAATTGCATTACCAGTGGAAGAGTCACAGATGGCACATTTACCTCTCGAGTGGAGATGAGATTAAAACTGATGCCTTGGACTATGTTCTAGCCATTATCCACTCAACTCCCTCGTTGGGTGAGCTGGAAAAATGGAATATGAAGATTGGTCTTGACTATTTAACTTATAATAGCTCTAATCCAAATCCCTCTCAGGTGCCCAAATACAGTCATGGGCGGTTTTGTGGCGAGCCAAGATCTCCCACACTTTCAATTCTGTCAGGCCGTTTAAATGGGTCACAAATTCAGCTTTGGGTCCGTAATTTATACACCTGGTCGTTTTATTGCAATATAATTTCTGCTTTTGCTGTCCCGACACAATCCTTTTTTGGCTCCATCTGTCAAACAAACTCTGGCTTTATTTTGAATTAATCGTTCCAAACAACTGCTGACTCAATCGCGGAAATATGCATAATGATGGGGTACTGTATGTTGTGTAATGTTACCTTAGCTCTCAATGATCTGTGAGCCAAATTTGCTGTTTTGGGCTCTGTCTTCAGTGTAGTTGTAATTCAGAATGGTTTGGCTTTTAACTTAAAGATCAAATGTAACACTAAATACCCATCTTAAACCAAACTAAGGGATGGAAAGTTCATGCACTAGGGGTGTAACGGTGCACATATTCGTACAGAACATTTTCGGGGCTGGTCTCTTAGTTCGGTACTCATGTTTACTGAACAAATACTAGGGCTGGGACAAGAAATCGATGCATCGCGAATCAAGAAATGATTCCGCATCGATTCTGAGATTTTCCGAAGGCATTGCAATTCTCTCTTGAATCGATTCTGAGCTTAGTTTTTAACAGCAGATGGCACTGCGCGCTTTAGAAATAGCCGTATTCTGCTTGCTTCCAGTTCCTTACACATGCACCATTTGAACCTAAAATAATCAATTATAAAGTTTGAAAAGGTTGAAGCGAATTACAAGGATGTTCACAGTGTGGGCTGTTTACATTAATCTCGCATCATAAAAGCATAAAAGCCGATGTGCAAGTACATTTAACCACTTACATTACGCAGCCAAATGCACAAGCGCTGTTCTTTGTGAGCATTTGAGTGTGCGGTTAAAAACTAGCCTAGAGCGCCATCTGCTGTTAAAAACTAAGCTCAGAATCGATTCGAGAGAGAATCACAATGCATTCTGAAAATCTGAAAATCGATCCACGAATCGCGATGCATCGATTTATTGTCCCAACCCTAACAAATACAGCATTGTTTTAACCACTGCACGAGTGGAACTTCATTGGGAACTTGCAGTTTAATATATTGTTACTTTTGATAAGAAACAAAGTCTCGTCTTTTAAATTACGTCCATTTTTTTTTTCAGGAAATTCAGACAATAAATGCCGTTTTGGCACTCTTTGTGGCGCGACAGATCGCTGTATAAACACCTCAGATCAAATGGCAGCACAGAGCGCGAGTGAGCACAATCATCCCTTACTATTTACCACTAGTTTTACCGTGAAATAAACATAAATGAACATCTCATGCCTCACGTAATCACTCAATCAGTATTTCAACCACAAGATGTCAATAAAACAGCTTCTAAATAAAATGTCACGTAGCATTTCATTTACCTCCGGCAAGCCATCAGTGTCCACAGCTTGTGAGTTCACTAAAGAAATGGAGTCTAGAGAAGAGCATTTCGCAAAATATTGGACTACTGTATATACTCATTATATTTTACTATATTGTTACTTTTGATAAGAAACAAAGTCTCGTCTTTTAAATTACGTCCATTTTTTTTTTCAGGAAATTCAGACAATAAATGCCGTTTTGGCACTCTTTGTGGCGCGACAGATCGCTGTATAAACACCTCAGATCAAACGGCAGCACAGAGCGCGAGTGAGCGCAATCATCCCTTACTATTTACCACTAGTTTTACCGTAAAATAAACATAAATGAACATCTCATGCCTCACGTAATCGCTCAATCAGTATTTCAACCACAAGATGTCAATAAAACAGCTTCTAAATAAAATGTCACGTAGCATTTCATTTACCTCCGGCAAGCCATCATGTTGTTAATTGTAAGCTAGTATTGTAAAAGGGCTCCCTAAAGTTTAGAGCATAAGCTGAGGTACATTTTTATCCCTAGGAAAATTTTTATTATAATTGAATTTATTTAATGAAAGATAAATTTGTTCCGTAAACCACTGTTGAGTTCACTAAAGAAATGGAGTCTAGAGAAGAGCATTTCGCAAAATATTGGACTACTGTATATACTCATTATATTTTACTTTACCTGTTAGTGATGTCTTATTTAATGTGTGTATATATATAGATATATATGTTGTTAATTGTAAGCTAGTAATGTAAAAGGGCTCCCTAAAGTTTAGAGCATAAGCTGAGGTACATTTTTATCCCTAGGAAAATTTTAATTATAATTGAATTTATTTAATGAAAGATCAATTTGTTCCGTAAACCACTGTTTAATAAAAAAAAGCAATTTTATGTTTAGTTTTTCCCCCTGCTGTACCGAAAATCATACCGAACCGTGACATCAAAACCGTCATGTTTGTGTACCGTTACACCCCTATCATGCAGTCTTTCTTTCTCTGTGGCTGGTGAATCATAAGTAGACAAATTAACATGGCTACTTCCCTTCTGTATTTTCGGGTCTGCCATATTACTGTGCCTCAAAGTCAAAGATGATTAGATACTTGGGAATCTGATGAATTTGTGGTTTAGGCTAAACCATTCAGCATGCTGCGTCAGGATATGCTTCTGTTTTTCCATAATCATAATTCATATGCTTCCGTTGATGATTTCCTTCAACAGGAAGCAATCAATCTCCTGGAGCCCATGACCAATGACCCGGTGAATTACGTCAGACAGGGCGCGCTGATCGCCTCGGCTTTGATCATGATCCAGCAGACGGAGGTCACCTGTCCAAAGGTAAAGGGAATGTGTGGTTCGGGTTAATTATTTGGCTCTTGGGATTTGTAAGTGTTTTCAGTCCTTGCCTGACTGCAATATGTGGCACAAAGCTACAAAATAATAGGAAATGTTTAATATACATTCATGTGGATCGCATGTGACACCAATGAAGTTCCAGATTAATGGATGTACATTAGCTAAAGGAAGTTTTTGTGGGCTTGAGAGACTACACAGACTGAAAATGAACAATAGTCTGTCATTTTACTGTTTATTATAGATTCTAGCACGCACCTAAAGTCATAAATACTCACCTCTTATAATATCAGACGTTGTCGAATCATTTCTACAATGTGGTTGTGTAGTCATGGTACATTTGGTTGTTTCTTGGGGTGACTTCCCTTCGGTTTTACCACATGATTATTACTGGGCTGCGAATTTTATGGCCACATGAAAGTAAAATTGATTTGAAATCCCTGTTTTATGGTTGTAATAATGGCAATCGTTTGTTAAATATCCCTTCTGGGCAGACTTTAATTCATGCTAGCAGCATGTTTTATGAGCCTGGCCTTAAAATTTGGGGAGAGAAAGCAGAGTATGATTCTCATAAATGCCTTAGAACAGACTTCATTTAACTGTGTGTTTACCGCTGAACCAAAATCTAAATGTTTCTTTAAAGGGGTCATATGATGCGATTTCAAGTTTTCCTTTCTCTTTGGAGTGTTACAAGCTGTTCGTGAATAGATAAGATCCAATATATATATATATATATATGAATATATATATATATATATATGAATATAAATATATACATGTAAATATTTTCAAAATATATACATGCATGTGTGTCTTTATATAAACATAATAAATATACTCAGTACACACACACATATGTTATATAAACAAAAACGTTTATTTTGAATGCGATTGATCATGATAATTGCCACAATTGTAAAATATTAAATAAATACAAAATGCTAAATAAAAAGTCACAATACAAAAAAAGAAAGAACTTTAAATAGGTTCATTTATTTTAAAATAATTCAGTATTTAATATAATCTCTTGTTTCTTTTATTCCTTTTGGTTTTGGGTTCAAGTTAACAGTTTGAGGTCTCTTAAGTCAGCTCTAAAATATTTGGGAATATATAGATATTGCCAATCTTTCTGGGTTAATGTGCTTTATAGAGTCTTATCTCAAATAACTGAATGGCTGGGTGTTCTGTGCTAAATGTGAGGGTGAAAACAAACCTTTTGTATGCATGTCAGGGCAGGTAAGTCCGTTTAAGGCTTTGTGATAAATTGCTGATAGGATCGTGACAAGAATGTGGCATGCCAAACAAGATAGCACCACGTCTTCATGCCACTACAAGCAAATATCATTCACTCAGTCCCAGGGGTGCTTGCCTATTAATATTGAAAGAATGCATCGACCTTCAAGATACTCTTGCCCACAGCTTCCCAAATATCAGCTTGTGTACGAACCCAGTACAAGTTATCACAGAGTCAGGAGAGTATTTCACATGGAGTGTTGTTTTTGCCCACAGTAATTGAATTTAGGACATGCTGGGACTGTGTTGCATCCTAATTATTTGTATTGTACAGTTGGGCGACAGTTCTTAATATGGGGGATTTCAAGGTTTCAGTGAGGGGTCCATGCCTGAACACTTAATTTAAATACACAAGGCATACCACCACATGCTGACTGAACTTTGCTGCAACTTATTAAATAGCTGCTTTATAAAAACTTTCTTACACCGTGGCTCCAAAACCTAAGCTGCCTTCCAGTCTACAGCATACAATGTCAGCTTAAACAATATACACTACATAGGCAGCAACTCCATGTGCTACACAAATAGTGCACATCACGGAAAGCACACAGGAGAATCAACTCTCATTTGATTTAAGTATACTTTGACATTAGCATGTTGCTAAGCTAATACTGCAGTATTTCAGTAAGCATGAAAATACACAGCGTACTCAAATGTTCAAGTTTGACATTAGCATGTTATTAATGTACGACATTACAATTATCCAGTAAGCAAAAAAAAAAAAAAAGACATGATAATTCTATAGGCATAAAAATACACATTACTCAAATTTTGGATTTTGATATCTGCACTTTAGTAAGCTAACATCGTAACAGTCCAGTAAGCATAACATAGCACAAACAAATATTTGAGATTTATGTTAGCATATGGCTAAGCTAACGAAAGTACTTTGATGGTACTTTCAAATATTGAGTAATTTACTTTTTTATTGGTAGTTTTTGGTATTGTATGAGTGATTCATGTTTATTTTTCTCCCTGCTTGTTCCACCACATCGGAAGGATTTCAGTGTGTCCCAGTGTATTGTGGGATTGTTGCTTTAAAATGTATCCTAACATAGGTATCGTTTAACAAGTATGCTGCTTAGTTTATGGAAGAGCCTTTGTGTCAAGGACATGCCTATGCTGCCTTAAAATGCTGCCTATGTACGCACCTCACTAGGTTTTATAAGAAAATGTTCTAGTGATACCCAGGGACCGCTGAAAGCTCTTGAAATTACGCATGAATAACATTTTGAAATCTTTTTTTTTTCATGGCCTGGTTTGGTAGAGAGTTTGAACTCTTGGCTTATTGGTTGTCACATATGACACAGCATGATTTAAGTCACTGCAGTCAAAACAAACAATACAGGCCATAATTTCCCTATGCAGTTGCAGTAGATGCCAACAGGAAACTGGCAGTCTGATCATTTAACGGGCTGTGACAGAACGCCAGCACCTGTCAAGGGGGGCGCGAGCATCAGCTAATTCAGAGACGTTCCCTTGAAAAATTATGAATATGAGTTAACAAATCTTTAGCCATCCACTAGGGGGCAATCTGACTCCCACTGCTAGTCGACAGTTAGAGCAGAGTTGGCTCGAGTCAGTGTTGCCAAGTCCGCGGTTTTCCCGCGGAATTGGGCTACTTTAACACTTGCCGCGTTTTGTAGTTTTGGGCTAGTTTTGAGTAGCAATTAGGCGGGTTTTGTTGTGAAAACCTGGCAACCCTGGTCACGCTTATTGACAGTGTAAGATGATTTACGATTAGCCGTGTCGGAAATCCAACCACGGATTGGCATGTTGTTATCTCAGAAACAGGCTCAGCCATCACATTGAATCAGGTAAACTGGTTATATATTTATGTTTCAGTATAATTACGCACGCTATACCAGGGGCGGTTCTAAACCCTTTTTAGGTGGGTTTCAGCCCCCCTATCTGTCACCTTAGCCCCCCAAAAATATCTTAACGATCAGTGCTGCTTCCTCGAGAAAGTTTTTCATTCTCACGTGTTTTAAGTCTTGTCAGTTTAAACATTAAAGTAATGTTAAACCATTTAAGCCCAAGACATCTCAGTGCGGTACTCACGCCCTGTGATAGAGCGTTTCTATGCGCACCGCTCACACACCTGAAGTGCACAAACAGATAGCCTTCTCAAATTAGACAAACTTGGGGTGGGGGGCGCATGTCCTAAAAGGTTGAAAACCCCTGCTCTAAACTGATGATACCAAACCTCTCTCCATTCATCTTCTTTAAAAGTGCATTGTTATGGACATATCCACACCTCTTTCCGGCCAGGCACTCATCCCTCACTCCTGTTATTGTCTGCTCATCAGGCAGTTTGAGGGTGGTGGAGTCTTTGGCCTTGACCTTCACAACATCTCCTATTAATATCCCAATCCTGTATCAGCTCCATGGGCCATGCACCTCGACAGGAAAGGACATTTGAATGCTGCATTTGTTCATCAAGATATTACCAGTGCACACCTACACCATCCTCCTTTCAGCATCAAATTTGTGTGGCCTTTGCAATGCTGAAAAATGTACCTTTAATATTAACAAATCAAAGCCAGAATCCAAGACAAACCTTTAAATATAAGCATAAAGTCTGGTCCACAACATAATTTATTCTGGCAAAAAACAACCACTTAAGGTGCGGTCTCATTTACCACTGGGAGGCGAAATATTGCAGGCGAAGTCCAATCATTTAAGTAGGTATCTGCACAATTTGGAGTTTTGTGTAAGGGCGAAAGATTTCAATGCAGATTTTGTTAATTTGCTGCATTGACCAACAGGAAGCCGATTGGTTTAAAAGTGATTTGTAAGTCTGCGCCGATGGCCTTACACCGGGCGTCCCATATTCAAATCCCGGTGTACCAACGAAACATGCTATCTATCAGATTGTGCTACCAAAAATATATTAGCATTGTTTTAAGGGTAAGTTTAGGGTAGGTATGGATGTGTAAGTTTAGGGTAAGGGTAGGTATGGGTGTGTAGGTTTAGGGTAGGGGTAGTTATTGATATAAAAAAAGCCTCAAACCACATGATTAAGATGCTGGTAGCACAATCTGATGGGTAGCATTTTTCGCTATCGATTTATGCTACCTATCTATTTAATGGGAGGTAGCACAATCTGAGCGGGTAGCACAAATCATCAGAACACCGACTTGAGGACCTTTCCCGATCCCACGGCCCCCCTCTCTCTCCCACTTCACTTCCTGTCTACTCTACACTGTCCTATCGTAATAAAGACACAATGCCAAAATTAAATCTTAAAAAAAGTGATTTGTGAGTTGAGAGTGGTTGGAGTTCCAGAGGAGCTTGCAAACACCATCTTTCTGATTCTTCTCAGGTGGTCGCAATGTGACGATCTCTCTGCAGTCACGCACAGGCCACACCCACATGCCATCTGTGGTGGGTCTCTTGGTCTTCACCCAGTTTTGGTTCTGGTTCCCGCTCTCTCACTTCCTGTCTCTGGCCTTCACACCCACAGCTATCATCGGCCTCAACAAGGATCTGAAGGTAAGCAGAAACGTCTTTCAGCCTATAAAGCAACACAGTGCAACCTCAACATGGGTGACTTCCCTCGTATATAAGAGAAACAGTTGTAGGATATTTTTATCTCCTGCATTAAAGTCACCATGAAATCAAAATTGAAAATTCTTATTTTTTCTGAAGCTGATGCTTCACTTTATAGCACTGACACCAGTCATGAGGGAGTACGTTACCTCTAAACATTGAAAAGATATTAGGATATTACGACAACATTACTCTTACGACATCGCAAACTAATTTTTTTCATGAATATGACTTAACCTGATGGAGGACGCGCTCAGTCATTCAGGCAGTCTCTCTCTGCGCGCGCGCTGTTAGGTATGTTTTGTGCCGTTGATCGTCCTCATCCTCGTCTTCCTCAATAAATAAAAAAATTTCTTCATGCTAGGGTGTCGGCGGTGAATCCAGTGGAGAGAAATCCCCCCACAACTAACTGCAAACTGGCATTCAGATCTGCCTCCATTTTGTTAGCAACGCCCCAACTTCCAACGATCCAATCAATTCCCGAAGTACGAAATCAAGACCCGCCCTCTCATTTCAGATGCCGTTTCACTCGGATAGACATCACAGTAGAGAAAAAAAGACAATCGCTACTTTCGTTTCATGCCGACTATAAGTGTCAAACGTTATAATCCCAATGTATCCAGCATGGAGCCAAACCATTAATCCATGCAAGAAGAACTAGCAGCAGTTGGAGCACTGGTAAAGTGGTTTGTTCAGGAGTGTCCAATCGTGTTCCTGGAAGGCCACTGTCCTGTAGTTTAGCTCCAACCCCAATTAAGCACACTTGAACCAGCTATCAAGAGTCTTCAGGATGCCTAGAAACTTCTCTGTAAGATGTTGGCCCTCCAGGAGCAGGTTTGGACACCCCAGGGTTAACGCAAATGTTCACATTGTTAAAACTAGGGAAAGCTGATGCTACCAAAATGGTCCTCTTCATTGCTTGAAGCACACATACTGCATGCTAGAGTAACACATTTTTGTTTTACTCACTCAAAAAAACAAAAAACAACTTTGTTCAAACCCTAGTGAACTTAGTGGCTGTTGCCTCTATGGGCAGCATCCTAACTGTCATTGAACCTCCTTTGTGACTTATTTGGAAGGCTGTACTGGGGCAACAACTTCTGGTGTCATACAAATAACACTTCTCAAACAAACCACATGGGAGACTTGTTTGATATTAACCTATTTCTGAGGGAACAGCTTAAAATAAGGCAATTGAAGTCTTTAAATCTACACTTTTCAATTTTGAATGAATAAGTTCTTTCCTGTTAACAGATGCCAAAGGTGCAGTATCGATCCAACTGCAAGCCCTCCACCTTTGCTTACCCTCCACCCTTGGAGGTGCCAAAGGAGAAGGAAAAAGAGAAGGTCTGTTTTAACCCTTGTATCATGAACTCTCACCTGGCATGTCAAATCTCAACTTGATACCAAAAACCAATGTTCCAATGTTCTAGTCCCAGATTTCATGGCATAACTTGACCCGCTGTTCTTCTGTCAGGTTTCCACCGCCGTTCTGTCCATCACGGCTAAAGCCAAGAAGAAGGAGAAGGAGAAGAAAGATAAGGAAGAGGAAAAGATGGAAGTGGTATGCATGTCCCACAGCACTTCCAGAAACCTTTAGCATGTCATGTACCGCAGAACCCCAGTGATTTGGTCTTTATCTGATGCAGGAAACACAGGCAGAAGCAGAGAAAGAGAAGAAAGACGAGGAGAAGAAGGAGAAGGAGAAAGAGAAAGAGAAAGAGAAGGAGAAGGAGAAGGAGAAAGAGAAAGAGAAAGAGAAAGAGAAAGAGAAAGAGAAGGAGAAGGAGAAGGAGAAAGAAAAAGAAAAGAAAAAAGAACCAGAGCCAAACTTCCAGATGTTGAAGAACCCAGCACGTGCCATGCCCGCCCAGCTCAAGGTCCTCGCCATGCCTGACAGCTGCAGATACCAGCCCTTCAAACCTGTGAGTCTGACTCCTTTAATTTAGGCCTGTTGTGACGGTTTTCATCTGTAAAACCACTCATGCTGCGAATGAGAGATACTCTTCAGAGAGAAGACATTTGCCTAACGGCTCTAAATAAACAGCATTGAGAGCTGCAGTTTAGTGCTCAGAGGTCAGCTGGCATGACTCCAGCCACTTGTTTTTGCATTGTAGGAGACTTCGAATGTGAAAATGTCTGCTTTAGCAGGAACGTGATTCTGGATTTTGCATTAAATAAGACATCTAGACAACTACTTTAAGTATATAGTTGGACTGTCGCACCATATAGTAACCCCCTTCGTCCACATTGTCGCTCCCAGTTACACACGGGTGGCATCATCATCTTGAAAGACACCAGTGAGGAAGAGGAGGAGCTTGTGGAGCCCGTGTCTGCTCATGGCCCTAAGATCGAGGAGGAAGAACAGGAGCCCGAGGCCCCAGAACCCTTCGAATACATAGACGAGTGAGAGTACTTACAGGTACTTCCTCTACATGGACACATTTTTTTGTACTTTTGTTTTGTATATTGAATTTAAGTTGTTGTTCCCATTTATTTTAGTTTAGACTCTTTGTTAATGTGAAGATGCTAAACTAAGAAAGATAAAATTTCATGAAATTCCAATACAATTTTATGCAAAAGTTTGCGCACCCCTGATAGTTATTGTTTCAATTTATAATCTGCTAGTCTTTCGAAGCAGCAACTTCATTTGGATAGCATTTATACCTTATGGGTACAGCAACATTTCAATTTTGAAATAACATTTATTGAATCAACAGAAACGATGCAATGTGAATCATAACAAAAACAGACAAGTGCAGAAGTTTGGGCGCCCCAATGGAATAATCACATCAATATTTAGTAGAGACACTTTTTGCTGAAATAACAGCCTGTAGATGCTTCTTATAGCCACTGATAAGTCCCTGAATCCTGACTGCAGGTATTTTGACTCTTCTTCATTGCAAAATGTTTCCAGTTTGATGGCTGTTGAGCATGAACAGCCTGCTTCAAAACAATGCATAGATTATCAGTGATGTTCAAGTCTGGTGACTGGGATGGCCATTCTAGAACGTTGCATGTATGTCTGTGCATGAATTCCTTGGTAGATTTGGAGCAGTGCCTTGGGTCATTGTCCTGCTAAGACAAACAACCCTGGTGTAACATCAACCTCTTGACTGATTCTTGAACATTGTTCTTAAGAATTTGCTGAAACTGGGTGGAATGCATGCAAACCTCAACTCTGACAAGGGTTCCAGTACCTGTGCCTGTCACACAGCCCCATAGCAGGATGGACCTTCCACCGAATTGAACGCTTCTGGTTGTTACCAGATAAATCCGTCTTATTCCAAAATAATTCTGGCTTGTCCTGATGAGCCTTTGCATACATCAAACGGCTCTGCTTGTTGGCAGTACGCAGAAAAGGCTTTTTCCAAATCACGCTTCCATTGTGCTGTTCCTCACGCAAGGTGCGCTGGACTGTACTCTTTGGAGGTGGTCTGTCTGTGACCAGACAGATTTCTTTCAGATTTTTTTTATTTCTCAACCTACCACATCTTTCCTTAACAATGACCGTTTCTTTGGCCTTCCATTTTCTTACTCATATTTCTGACTGTGGAGGCAGAGACCTTTAACCTTTTGTGGAATTGTTTTCGTATCCTCCTAATTCATATTAACAAATTATCCTAGTTCTTAAGTCATTAGGGAGATCTTTTGAGGTTCCCATGTTGCTACTTTACAGTATAGAATCAAGGAGAAGCACAGCTAGCAATTAGCTACCTTTAAAAATCATTTTCTATGATGGGTTGCACTTTGAGTTTGCAGTAAGGTTCACTGAGCCAATCAAATCAATATTGTGTTGTAATTAATCAGCAACAAGTGACTACAGGTAATCAACACAATTGAAAGGGTGCCCAAACTTTTGCACAGCCTGTTTTTCACCTTCGACTTTTATTTCATACAACTCAATACTGCTACTCTAAGAATTTCTGATGTCTGGAAAACATCACATTATGCAGCTTTCTCTAGAAACTTCATGGTATATCACTACAAATTTTTCTTATAAAGATATTATGCAGCCCCATGGGGTGCCAAAACTTTTGCATAAATCTGTAGTGGTCTCGTTACAACTCGGTGAAGCTCATGTGCTCATCTCCACTCTTTTTTTGCAGGTGGTGTTACGAATTGTGCGTGTTCACAGCGTGCACCGCTAACATGTCTACTCAAATGCCCACCCCTTTTCCTTTTTTACGTTGTTTCCTCCACTTGGCCTATCGTGGTCACTTGAGGGATGTTTTACACAATGGTTTTCAGTCATTACAATAAAATATATATGGTGAACATGAGATTGGGTGCTTTTATTGTGGTGGATCTGCTGTATGCTTTATATGTATTTTTGGTATTATTGTCAATTATGTTGCATAAGGTGGGTAGCTGACACGAAATGCTTTTGAGAAGACATGCTATACTATTTTAAACGGCATAACATAAATTCATGTATGCAAATTGCAATATATAAAATGAGTGAAGACACAAAAGTGGTTAAAATGTAAAGGCCTTTTATTGAGATTTAACATTTTCCCAAGGTCATCCACTCACTGTAGCCAATATCTTTTTAAATCTCAATTTACACAAAATACAGTTACAAAAGAATAACCAACTGTCTAGAGGAAAGACCGTTCACTCACATCGTTGTTTGAGAAACGGCATCAGTCATAGTGACAGTATTTTCTTGAAAAATAAACAAGCCACCTTTTTTTCATATACTGTATATCACAAGGTGCTTTCTACAGAAACTACCAAGTGACTGTTAATGGTATGTAGTCAGAGGGGTTTTACCAACCTAAACTGACAGGAGGAAGCATTTAGTCACACTTTTCCCCCGACTGTTCACTATATCCCCTAAAAGGAAAATTTTTTTTTTTTTTGTCAAGGTGCTAATTTCCCATATGTCTTTACAAAGTGGGTGGGATACTTTGCACTTTTGACTTCAGGAAAATTGGCACAGTTCCAGAAAGAAACTCGTATATCATTTATATTTCCTTGAAATTTGTGGTCATGTCTCTTTGTCATTTTAGGGAGTCTAGAATCTTGACCTTCAAATACTCTTTTTACAGAGAATTGATTGTGAATTCTGTCGTAACTGCAGAGATCTTCATTAGTTTTTCCAAATACGAAAAAGAAAGCGTTCCATAGTTCTTTTAAGGACCTTGCAACACAGACCCCAGTCATCATCAGCCTCTCTTAATGGACCGTGCTATTGTAAACTGCATTTAGAAGAATGGCGGGTCAACGTCATAGCAAAAGCAGATGAAACCACTATATTATTACACTTTATGTCAAGATGTTTCCTTCATTGCCCGTTTATGAATATGTGACCATATAAGGTGATATATCCACCAGGGAAACCGAGACTTGTCTTGATATGACCCTAAAGGGTCAAAGCGAACACTTGGAGAATGGCGCGTCCTGCCCAAGTACGATTGTTGGTGAACAAATACCTCCATCGCTTTTTGCCGTGAAGTCACAGTCTGTTAAAGCCGCACTGATGACAGAACGGATGGCAAGAGCGGACCGCTTTTGTTCGGTCAGTCAGCAGACTGGCCAGAGTGGTGTTGGAGAAACGTTTATGACGGGTGTCCAGGCACTGGAGGTGGTCGAGAGCCTTCTGTTTGTTGTACTTGCTTGGTGCAGTGATGGACACGCTGGCTGGCCATTTGAACTGGGGACAGGGATGACTGTTATGATTCCTCGAGAGTCAGGGAATTAATGGATCTTGGCAAGAATTGCAGAACATCATAAATACAATGCTGTAATGGAACACAAGGGTCGGACCAATGGCTCTTGTGAAAAAGTGCCAATGTGGAACCAGGTTACAATGACCTGCAGGATTTCTAGCGGCATCAAATGGAACTGCGATCTGTTCGTTTGAAAGGCCCGGCTTTTACGACAATAATGTGAGTTTAGCAGACAATGGGAGATATGCCAAGTTTGAAACTTCTTTAGAAAGTCGTTTTTTGTCAATTCTGTTGATGCATTTATTCCTATTAATTCCTTATACCTTGACTCTTGAGAGCACTCGCAGCTCTTTCATTTCAACCACAATTGAAGTCATTTATTTCAAACCATCCTGATAAGGACTTGTTTGACAGTAAACCGTTTGTTACCATGATTGCATGTCTACAATGCCAACATCCCATGAACTACGCCAAAGGAATTGAGTTTATATAAGAGATGATTCTAGCTGATAAGCTTCTGTTAGCGGACAGTCTTTGGGTGCTCCTCAGTCTGCTCCCTAGTTCAGTATTAAGTTGGGGAGTTTGCCATTTGTAGCCTATTATTGAAAATCGGTGCACATGAAGCTTGGAGAATGCACCATAAAATGTTTTGATATCTTAGTGCCACAGTGTATTCTATGACTAAATACCTGCTACATATGTCAGCCTGATAATTGTGTCAGGTAATTAAGCCATTTTTTATTGTTTTTTTTAGTGGAGGCCATTGCAGATTCCCAAGTTTGTTTACAATATCACGTCATAGGGAACTAGGGAGTAGGTTTTTGCTGGGCGACCACCAGGCCTAATCTTTAACATTGCTCTGAATTTGAGGGAAATAATCTCTGTGTGTTTCATTGGGTCTCTATGTCCAGTGTTTCTCGAATAAAATAAACTCTTCCAGAGCAGACCGTGCCAAGAAATTTTGGACACCGATAGACTCTCGGGCCGTATTGAATTAACCTCCACAACAGAGGGTTCTTGTGTTGGTCAGGGTCTGGGCTAACCTGTCGGAGTTCTCTCTTTGAGCACAGCTGGAAGCCAGATTCACTGTCACGGATTCAGCAGATTTTCCAGCCATTCGCTGGCGAAGCACTGAGGTGTAGTTGATGAGACCCTTGGGACTCTGCTCTTAAAAGTGTCTCCACTGGAGAGAGAAACTACAGGGGCCTCCCTATTCTGGGAAGTGAGAGTAGAGTAATAGAAAAGCCATGCGAGTGAATTGGCTAAATGGATGGTATAGGGCAACAAACATCCACAATTTTCCTGCCATTAGGTGCACGATTGCGGTGTGAAAGTATGTTGCTGACAGCTCTCTTTCATTCATCATTACAGTCAAAGGAACAATCCCACAAAGACTGTTTAGATTCTCCACGCCTGCATGCTAGTGATTTTTTGAAAGTGAACTCATGAGTCAATCCTGAACGGTCAACTTCTGGAAAGAAGAGAGAAGGGGCTAACCTGTCGGAGTTCTCTCTTTGAGCACAGCTGGAAGCCAGATTCACTGTCACGGATTCAGCAGATTTTCCAGCCATTCGCTGGCGAAGCACTGAGGTGTAGTTGATGAGACCCTTGGGACTCTGCTCTTAAAAGTGTCTCCACTGGAGAGAGAAACTACAGGGGCCTCCCTATTCTGGGAAGTGAGAGTAGAGTAATAGAAAAGCCATGCGAGTGAGTTGGCTAAATGGATGGTATAGGGCAACAAACATCCACAATTTTCCTGCCATTAGGTGGACGATTGCAGTGTGAAAGTATGTTGCTGACAGCTCTTTCATTCATCATTACAGTCAAAGGAACAATCCCACAAAGACTGTTTAGATTCTCCACGCCTGCATGCTAGTGATTTTTTGAAAGTGAACTCATGAGTCAATCCTGAACGGTCAACTTCTGGAAAGAAGAGAGAAGACTTCGGTTCATTAGGCAAAGAAATCATTAAGCAGAGCGATGGAACAAATGTGGGCCGTGAAAATGGTTGTGGTTGGCTCCTACACTTTCCACTTGATGTTAATGTTAAGTAGGCTATGACAGAGTTTGGCTTCTTGCGTTTCAGAATTGAAGCATTAGCAGTCCCAATCTTATGCCGTAGCTTTTGCTTTTTCACAAGTATGGAAAGGTTTAAGATAACAGTTAACTATCGTGGAACTCTTGAGGACAGCTTGTCAGGATGAGGGTTGGATAGTAACATTAATGGAGCTTGCCGCCTTTGTTTTTGTGCAAATGTATTTTTTTTATGGAGGGAAAAGGACTCAAGCAGTGGCTCTTTGTCTCTCTGCGGGAAGCCGACCGCAGAGGAAGGATAGATGCCTGGAAGACGCTAGGCGCTAGCTTGAATAAAATGCAATGACTTTATCATCTGACCAATCGCCACATGGAAATGATGACATAAGCATTATTTCATATACGCTACCGTCAAGTCATTCACTTTTAAAACCATGCCACATTGCTTGATTTGTTTTATACGCTCACCCTTCCCCGGGCCACAATTACCGTATTGGCCCGAATATAAGACGACCCTGATTACAACACGCATTACATTACGTATCGTTACGTACACTCGTTTTATGCGTGTTTGGCGCAACCTATTGTTGGGGGTGTATTATTGACATGTCAAAGTCTAGACCCTGAATATAAGACGACCGCGTTTTTTCAGATGTATTTCCAAGAAAAAAATATCGTCTTATATTCGGGACAATACGGTAATGTTCGATTTTACGAAGCGCTCAATGCCGTAATTTCTTGAGTGCACCAGTTCAGCGATTTCAGTCTGGTCTCTCTAACATGACACACACATTTAAGGTCTTCGAGTCTTCTCTAATGAGCTGATGAGTTGAATTAGGTGTGACTGATTGATTAGGTAGACATCTAAAATGTACAGTGTCGGGGGTTCTCCAGGACCAGGATTGGGAATCACTGGTCTACATAATCTATAGCCGTTTCACAATTCAAAGGCGGCATTCGAAGACCAAATGCATCACAAAGGCTGCTTCAGACGTGGCCTCGAAACACATCTTGTGTTTCATGGGCCATTAAGGATATAACAGATGGCTCCTTCACAGCCCAAACCATCCCAAGAGTCATTGTGTGCATGTGATGACAGGAGTTTTTGAGAGAAAATGCTGGTTTGACTTAAAGTTATTAGGCTTCAGTTGAATTGAAAATCTAACGATCTGACCATAATTTTTCACTCATTTGGCAGATATAAGCCAATGAAATTTGTCAATATGGTAATTGATTGACACACTTTCACTTGCAACAATTTTAGTGCTTAACACTTTTTTGTTTTCTACATTACTTGAATGACTTCCCAGAAGCACTGATTCTAAGAGTCACCATTCACTTTGGCTTTAAGCTTAGTGATAACCATAATGCATGGCTTGAGCCTTCTTATTTTACAAGGTTTATAAATAAATCTCCTGAGGCAGTGTGAAGGGTAATGTTCTCAGTTTATAAACGCGCATGATATGAAAAGGTGAGTCAGTGCACAGCTGGCAGGGGCATGAAGTCATCCCATCACGAGCGACTGAACGCCTGCCGCATTTTAGAGAGACAGTGCCAATGTTTACATGGGCTCA